AAGCCAAGGTTTATTCAGGTACAAGCTCTTCATCCTCTGTGAGGGCAGATCTGCGCACCCCCCCCCCCATAGCTAGCAATCCAAAAGAGTCCAGTGGGGCCTGAGCGGTGGGGGTTGCCTTCTGACACACTTCCGGTGATGTCAGGGGGTGTGGCATATGCTAATGAGTTATGCTAATGAGTTATGCTGATGAGCTCCTGCACCTCTTTTTCTACGAAATGACCCCTGCAACAGGGTACCAGGTTGACACAAACTTGGAGAGATGTGGTGTGTCTTATTGAGCTGAGATACTTAAGGAGCTGGATTCTGCAGAGAGTTTTGCATTCTGGGGGCATGTCATCCGCACATCCTTTCCCAGCGTTCTGGCCGGCTTCATTTCGTTTGCTCCCCCTTCATCTCCTCCTCCTTGTCCCCACAAGCTCCTGAGCTACCACGACCACCAGATCATCCGCCCTGGGCCTCCTGAGCTCCAGCAAAGAGTCGGGTTCACCTCTGCAGACCCCAGTCTGTACGATGCCTCCATGCAGCTTCGCGACGTGCAGGTCACCGACTCGGCCACGTACGAGTGCACCGTGAAGAAAACCACCGAGGCCACCCACAAAGTGACCATCACCGTACAAGGTGAGTTTTTTGTGTGTGGGGTGATGTCCCCCCCCCCCCGAGTTCAACAAAGGTTGAGGGCCAAACAGGCTCATAGCCACAGTGGGGCATTTAGGGGCGATGCCCCCTCACTCATGCTCCGTGCCCCACAACTCCTGCTGTGCAAGTTGTGCCGGCAGGTAAGGAAGGACCCTTCTCTTCTTCACCTGCCTGCCAATGGGAACTCTCTCTCTCTCTCCCCTTTCCCTCGCCCTCCCCAGATTTCCCAACGCCCCACCACCAGTGTTCCCTCTAAGCTGAGTTGGTGTGAGCTAGCTCACAGGTTTTTAGCCTCCGGCTCACACATTGTTTGTCTCCACTCAGGAAGGAGGGCTCCAGAGAAAACTAATTTATGCAGTAGCCAAATCGCTCGCTCACAACTTTAATGCCAGTGGCTCACAAAGTAGAATTTTTGCTCACAAGACTACAGCTTAGAGGGAACATTGCCCACCACCCAAAATCTTCTGGCTATGCCCCTGGAGCCAGGGGACCCCCTCGTCCTGGCATTTATAACTGGATCCCCTAATGCATAGTTTGCCCTAAACTGGGTGGCCCGGGGTAGCCCAGTCTCGTCAGAACTCAGAAGCTAAGAAAGGTCGGCCCTGGTTAATGCTTAATGGGAGACCACCAATTTTTATTTTTATTTTTTTTATAAATTCAATTTATAGCCCGCCCTCCCCGCTGCGCGGGCTCAGGGCGGCTCACAATTAGGCATACGCCTACACATAAAACAAATTAAAACCATATAAAATCCTTACTACATACACATCAAGATAAGTGCTCTGGCTGCTCCAGTCTGATCTTCCACAGAGATGGCGTTACAAGATGGTACATCTGCTCAGTGCTCTCAGTTCGACGCGACACTGCCGTTCCCCCTTCCCAGGGCCAGACAATACTGATGGAACATAACGATGGTGCGGTAGTGGCGGCGGCTCCTGCTTGAAAGCCTGGCGGAAGAGCTCCGTCTTACAGGCCCTGCGGAACTGCAGAAGGAAAACCTAGGAAGTCCAGGGTCGCTACGCAGAGGCAGGCCATGGCAGAGCCACCTCCGAACGTCTCTTCCCTTGAGAACCCGACATCAGCTGGGGACTGGAGTTTCCCCAGAATTACAACTGATCTCCAGACTACCGAGATTGGTTCCCCTGTAGGAAATGATGGCAGGTCTGGAGGGGAGACGCTGACGTTTTCCGCAGGGACGGTCCTCCCCGCGCCTGGTCTCCTCTTCATCCGTGGCTTTCCCTGGTTCCCACAGATGATTTCTCCCTCCCAGGCGGAAAAATGCATTTTGTCCCCTGTTGCTCCACAGCATCAGACGGGTGTCGTGGTTGAGTGCGCGGACTCTAATCCGGGAGCACCGGGTTTTATTCCCCCACTCCTCCACTTGCACCTGCTGGATTCCTCTTCTTCTTCCTCTTCTTCTTCCTCTTCTTCCTCTTCTTCCTCTTCCTCGGAATTCCCATGCTGTGCTGCAAGAGGGGGCAAACTGCGTTTTTGCTCCTGGGAGGGAGAAATCGTCTGCAGAAACCAGGGAAAGCTGTAGATGAATAGAAGAGCAGGCGGGGAGGGGAAACTTGACACTGCGGAAAACGCCTCTAAGTTACACCAGAGACTCTAGTAGAAACAGTAGTCCTAGAGTGATCTCTCAGTCCCTCTGAGCTCCCTCCTCTCTCCCAGCTCTGATCCCCCCTGTCAGCCCTAGTTGCCGATGTCACTTGGACAGGTAGCAGGAGAGAGAAAAAATTAAGTTGGCGCCAGCTGCATCACTATGTCACTTCCGGGGAATGCCCATAGGGTAGCTCTAGGAATCACCAGAAACGACACGTTTTACCAGAGAGTTTCTGACAATTCCTAGAGCTACCCTACGTCACTTCAGGTTATCAAAGGAAGTGACACAGCAACGCAGACAGTGTTGCGGGGGCCCCATGTCTCCACTCACTCATCCTCCCACTGGTTGCCAATCCTACATCACCCCCAAACCTCTAGGACGTTCCCAGGCCAGACTTGGCAGTCCTACTTGGGCCTGTGTGCCTAGTCAACCCCAGACTATCGGGTCATCCTGGTAAATGAGGGGAATCAATCAGAGTTTTGATGTGAGGGAAAAGGGAGATGTGCTGCAGATCCCTGGATACAGTTCTGAGGGTGGGGGTTGGGCCTGTAACAGTAGGCATCTCCTTTGGGCATAAAAAGACAAATTGTCCTGATACTGGTTTCTTGTTTCCATCACCACCAACCAGAACGGCCAGCGGTTCCTCAGTGCTTGATAATTGGCGATGTGGGTTATGGGAATGACATCACTTTGCGCTGCTTTGCCTCGGCGGGCTCCCCGCCACTCACCTACCGTTGGACCATGACACACGGGCAGGGCTTCAGAGACTGGATGTCTCCCAGTGAGATAGGTAAGTGACAAAGGCCCTGGAGAAGCAAAGGGCATTCTTCAGAAGGAAGAAAAGGGCAGTGATGCATAATTATACTTGTGGAACTCACCGCCACAAGACAACAACGTCACTTCCAGTGTGCGCCAGATGTTGCCACATTGCTGGCAATGCCAGCCTAGGTCTGCTTTTGGTGTAGCGGTTAGGAGCGCGGACTCTAATGTGGGAGAGCCAAGTTTGATTCCCCACTCCTCCGCATGCAGCTGCTGGTGTGACCTTGGGTCAGTCACAAGTTGTTTCAGAGCTGTTCTCTCACGAGCATTTCTCAAAAGAGCTCTCTCAGCCCCACCTCCCGCACAAGGTGTTTGCTGTGGGGAGGGGAAGGGAAAGGAGATTGTAAGCTGCTCTGAGACTCCTTCAGGTAGTGAAGGGTGGGGTATAAATCCAATCTCTTCTTCTTTTACTGCTGGCAAGCGCCCCCCCCCCCAAGTCGGTTCCCAGGCAGCCCTAGAAGAGTGGGTCACCAGTATTGTGCTTTTCATGGGTATGGTCACAAAGCCAAAAAAGTATATCAAAATTAGGCTCACCAGCTAAAGTGCATGATGAATTTTGGCTGGTTCGGGAACTGAAGCTCATAGCAGGTCAACTGGCACAAACCTTTCACAAACCTTTGTGGCAGTGTGTGAATGGATACATTTCCAGACAGACTGTCTCCACTCAGTCAAAATGTTTACCCAACTTCAAAGTCACGGGGGACGGGCAGAATTGGAGGGTATGTACAGGAGCATCAGGGGGAGCTTCCCCATGAGTTTGAGGCCTCTAGCTTGCACAGGGTCTGTTCCAAGGATATTTTTGGGCAGGAACGCACAGGAACGGAGTTCCGGCTGGCTCCCAAGTTGACCACGCCCAGCAGGAACTCATTAGCATAATAGGCCACACCCAACAGCAGAGACTCATTAGGATTGGCTACATTAGGGGTGTGTGGCCTAACATGCAAAGGAGTTCCTGCTACAAAAAAGCCCTGGGTTTTGACAACAAACAAGGTAAACAGAATAAGAAGCAAAAGGTGCGTGTGGCTGGATGACCACACTTCTGGTAACATGGGGGTGTGGCCTAATATGCTAATGAGCTTGGGTGTGGCCTAACATGCTAATGGGTTTCTGCTGTTGGGTGTGGCCTATTATGCTAATGAGTTCCTGCTGGGCTTTTTCTACAAAAAAAGCCCTGGCTGTTCTATATACTCCCAAACCCGCACCTGTCATTTCCCCAGAAAGCACTTTCCTGGGGGCACCTTCTTTTAGGGGCTGTAACTCGGGCCCCGTGAATCTAATCCTCACTAGCCATGGAGGGCAGGCAGAAGAAAGTCAACCGGAGATCCCCTGCGAGTTTGGCTTCTCTAGCACACTGGGTGAGGGGGGCTGTTCTACTAAATCACAAACCAAAGGGGTTTCTTTGGCCCCTAAAAGTTTGTAATGGTTCGCGGCTCACAAACCAGGCATGCCACGACCCTTGAACCGTCACGAACTGCATTTTCCCGGTTCATGCCCCTTCCTAATCAAAGTTCATGTTGGAAAACTCCAGTGGAGGCCTATCCATCACAAAGTGTCCGTGTGGTATGTGCCTGTTCAGAGACATTTAGCCTGCGGTGCAAGAATTTTTGAAAATCAGAAGCTGGTTGCCAGTCTTCAACCCTCTCCAGGAGTGGCCCGTTAGGAGGACCTAGGCAATCGCCTAGGGTGCCAGAGGGCAGAAGAGCATCAAGATGCTTGCTGGAGTGGGATGGCACTGCTAGGGGCTGGCCTAAGGCGCCGAAAGCCCTCGGGTCGGCCCCCAACCCTCTCTCTTTCTGTCAAATAGGATCTGTGCCTGGAGACCTTCACATCTACGGCCTGAGGGAGGAGCATCTGGGCACTTACCGGTGCAGCGTGGGTAACAATGTGGGCGTGGCCTATTGCTCCGTGGACATCGTCATAGGCGGTAGGTGTGGCTAGACGTGCCAGCTCTGGATTCGAAAATGCCTGGAGATTTGGGGGGGGGGTGGAGCCAGGAGAGGGCATGGTTTGGGGAGGGGAGGGACCTCAGCAGGGTATAATGCCATAGAGTCCACCCTCCAAGGCCAGGGCCGCATTATGACTTCTGTGGGCCCTGGGCACTTTTGCCTTTGTGGAGCCCACCCCCTTCCCAGCCAGTTTGGTGCAGTGGTTAAGTGCGTGGACTCTAATCTGGGAGAACCGGGTTTGATTCCCCACTCCTCCACTTGCACCTGCTGGATGACCTCGGGCACGCCATAGTTCTGGCATGGCTGTTCTCTCAAGGACAGTCGTGGAAAGAGCTCTCTCAGCTCCATCTACCTCACAGGGTGTCTGTTGTGGGGAGGGGAAGGGAAAGGAGTTTGTAAGCCGCTCTGAGACTCCGAGTGAAGGGTGGGGTATAAATCCAATTTCTTCTTCTTCTTCTTCTTCTTCCCCCATATTTAAAAATATTTAAAATTATTTTTAATATAACTTTAAATACTTCGAGATCTCCCCCCCCTTTTAGGCAAAAAAATAGATTTCTGTGAGCCCTTTTTTCTGATATGAGAAAAAAATTAAAACATTTTCTTTGACCCTAGAAGTTTGTTTCCCCCCTTCTGATTTTAAAAGAAATTAAAACTTTTTTGTGGGCCCCTAAATGTATCATGCAGGCTGTGGAAGGTCAGTAGTTCAGCAGTTCGAGACCCGGGTGCCGCAAGACGGAGTGAGCTCCCGTCTCTAGTTCCAGCTCCTGCCAACCTAGCAGTTTGAAAGCAAGACATTGCAAGTAGATAAATAGGTACCACTTCGCTGGGAAGGTAACAGCGTTCCGTGCGCCTTGGTGTTTAGTCATGCTGGCCACATGACCACGGAAACGTCTTTGGACAGCGCTGGCTCTTCAGCTTTGAAACGGAGATGAGCACCGCAACCCTAGAGTCGGACTCGGCTGGCTTTCGAGCAAGGGGACCTTTACCTTTACCTTAAATGTATCATGGGCCCTAGGCACTATGCCTACTGTGCCTAATGGATGTTGGCCCTGTCCAAAGCAGCCATTTTCTCCAGGGGGACTGATTTGTGTCATGTGGGGATCAGTTCTAATTCCAGGAGATCTCCAGGCCCTCACCTGGAGCCTGGCCAACCTAGGTATGAAAAGCCTGTTGTTGAAACGGAAAACCAGATAATCCTGATGAAACTGTAGGAGATAATTCCTGATGCTGTTTCTTATGCCGGGAGTGGAGAAAGTAGATAGAGAGACCCCCCCCCCCCCGACTTCAAATCCTAGGCCTAGAGGTCCCCCAAGGAAATTGATCAGCAGTGCAATCAGGACTGGCCAAAGAAAACATATTTTCACTCAGGGCATAATGAACCTATTGAATTCACTACCACAAGATGTTAACCACCGACTATAGATGGTTTTGAAGAGGGGGAATGGACAAATCCATGGAGGAAGTTGGTCCATCGATGGCTATTACGCATAACTTTGAAATGGAACTTCCATGTACCAAGGCAGAGTATCTCTGAAAACCACTTTCTGGATGGGGCAGCCATAGGGGGAGGCAATTGCCCTCATGTCTGAGTTGTGAGCTTTTTTTGGGGGGGGGGGCTTCTCACTGTCCACTATGGGGAAACAGGGTGCTCAACTAGATAGACCCTCCTGCAAGGTTCTTATGAAATACTTTATTGCATTCTAGGTCAATAACTTTTCCAGCTAACTCGTGCCAAGAAACTATTTATCTCTCAGAAGCTAACCTATGTTATTACAAAGCATGGGGGCACGTGCTATGTTATGTAAGCATGTAGGACAGTGGAGGTTTCCAGCATGGGCAGATTAAGGAACTAACAGTGTGATCCTAAACAGAGTTACACTCTTCTATATCTGTTCAAGTCAGTGGGACACAGAAAGGCATATCTCTGTAAAGGACTGCACTGCAAATTCCTGCACTGTTCGTCTTACAAGTTCTCTCAGAAGAAAAGAAGGAATTGTTTAATTCAGATCCTTTTAATATTTACCTCAGATTTGTTATCTACGTAATGTTTTTCAAATATTTCCACCCTGCCTCTTGACCTGAGTTCTCTCAGAGCGCCTCCCAAATTCTAAACCCTCAGTCTTAACAAGCTATAAAGTGACATACAAAACTTGTTTATCTCAGAGTTGCCGCAAAACTATGTTTGTCTTGATACTGATCAAAACGCATCAGGAAAACTCGTAGGCAGAATAAATGCCTGAGCTGTTTCCCTGCCCTCTCTCTCACTCCAGATAACCTCTCCTCAGAAACCACATTTTTCCTCCCTCCATTCCTGCAAGGGTGCTTGCGTAGTTCTGCCGTCACCCATTTTATCCTCACAACCTTCTGATTCAGGTTCAGGGCCACTCTATAAACATGATGCCTGATTTGCAAGGACCTGAACCCAGGTCTCCTCAGACCTGGCACTCTTAACTGTAGGGCTCAGGTCCAAACTAGATGTGATGGAAGGCGGGATTTAAAAAATTAAATAAATAAATAAATAAATTGAACATATTTTTAAAGGCATGCGCTCCTTTAAGCAGAGTGGGGTGCTGTAGTTGACTAATTCCCACACTGAGTAAGGGGGTTGGAGTAGGTGACCTCTAGGATCCCTTCTAACTCTGTGTCAAGAAACTGGCCCCCTTTGAGACAGTTTTTCTGCCTACGTGTTAGCTTTCTTGACTATAGAAGTCATCACCCCCACCTGCCGGCTTGTTATCAGGATTGTTGCTGATAGGCTGGCAGAGGTGATTAACTTGCGGCAGCTGAGAACGGTCATCTAAAGTGACTGGCAGCTTGCCGTTTGGAGAGCTGTCCTGGTAGCAGCTTTCTATTGGCTAAATGGCTTTTCTTTCTGCACTGAGAACTTCAGCCCCACCAGAAAAAAAATTTGCCCCACAAGCCACAAAATCCTGGCTACGGGCCTGGCCTGGAGAGGACAGGGACCTCAGTGGGGTACAATGCCACAGAGCCCACCCTCCATAGCATCCATTTTTTCCACCCAGGGGAACTGAGCTCTGTAGTCTGGAGATGAGCTGTAATTCTGGGGCATCCGGCATCCCTACCTGAAAACCGTATTGGTCTTTATGTTGCTACCGATCTCAAACCAAACTGAATGCTTAAAGCTGTCACAAATGATTCAATCTGCTGTTATTTTGCTTTCTTCTGTTTCCTTATCATATAATGTACATTCCTTACATGCCCTAGGAAATGCCGATTGCCACTTTGGGGTCAGGAAGCAATTGTTTTCCAAGCCAGTTTTGCCAGGGATCCTGGAGGGGTTTTTTGTTTGTTTGTTTTGCCCTCTTCTGGGCATGGAGCAGGGGGTCACTGGGTGCGTGGGGGTAGGGAGGTATTTGTGGATTTCCTGCATTGTGCGGGGGGCTGGACTTGATGACCCTGCAGGTCCCTTCCAACTGTATGATTCTGTGATTCTATGTATATTTTAAAATGATAATGTATACTTTATAATATGAAATGCACGAATGTTCAAGCGCACATAAAACAGCACTTGGTTACATGTTGGTGGTTCGTTTTGTTCGGCACGGCACAATTTTTTTAAAAAAAAATCTTTGGTGTGTGCACATGCGCATATGTGTATATGCACAAAGATTTTTTTTTAAAAAATGATAAAATTTAAAAGGTATCTTATAATATTTTATATTATAATATAAAACATGATGTATTTTATATTATATAATACCTTTTACATTTTATCGTATAAAATATAATGTATATTTTAAAACTGAAAATAAAAAGATTGCAGCCCAAAATCTCCAGGCGTCTGCCAACCCGGAGCTGGCAGCCCTAGTAGTCTCGCACACGCACGAGGGAACCCTGGTGTGGTCACATGGCAAGCTTACCACGATTTGTTTCCTCTGTAGATTTGATCAGGGATATTTTTTAGCGGGTTCAGATGATCACACATCCCTTGCCCAACCGCTTGCATTGCGGGATGAGGCTCCAAGCACCGTCCAGACAGCTGCGCTGCCCAAGTGGCGGTGCGGCACAATTTTTTTAAAAAGAATTCTTTGTGCATATACACATATACACACAGAGCTATTTTTGGGCAGGAACACACAGGAACGGAGTTCCGACTGGCTCCCAAGTTGGCCACGCCCAGCAGGAACTCATTAGCATAATAGGCCACACCCAACAGCAGAAACTCATTAGGATTGGCTACATTAGGGGTGTGTGGCCTAACGTGCAAAGGAGTTCCTGCTACAAAAAAGCCCTGGGTTTGGACAACAAACAAGGTAAACAGAACAAGCAAAAGGTAGGTGTGGCTGAATGACCACACTTCTGGTAACATGGGGGTGCGGCCTGATGTGCTAATGAGCTGTGCTGTCATAGGTGTGGCCCAATATGCTAATGAGTTCCTGCTGTTGGGTGTGGCCTATTATGCTAATGAGTTCCTGCTGGGCTTTTTCTACAAAAAGAGCCCTGTATAATATGCGCATGTGCACACACCAAAGATTTATTTTTTAAAATTGTGCTGTGCTGAACAAAATGAACCACTGACATGCAACCAAGGGCTGTTTTATGTGCGCTTGAGCATTCATGCATTTAATATATTCAGCGCAGGATTGGTCATGCACACAATGGTGAAAGCTGGGGGGGGGGGAACTACCGCAAGAAGGATGTACAGATGACCTAATCGCATTCCTAGCGAGAGATGGCTGTCCAGATAGGAGAAATTGCGGATTCGCAGCGCAAGAATAGGAAAGTACTTGATTTTCCCCAGTGTCGGAAAACAAGCTAGAAAACTGGGAGGATTGCGGGGGGTGAGTCCACTTCGATACGGGAGACAGAATCAGCTGTCTGATCAGCCCTTTTGAATGCGATAGGGAACCGTTGCGAAACCCGATCAAAATGACCTGGTGACCACGACCTCTTTCTGCCCCCTTGCAGGGTGGGGCAGCGGCTGGATCATCGGGGGATCGGTCCTCAGCTGCCTCCTCGGCATGGCCCTGATCATCGGCGGCATCGTCTGGTGCATCTGGTGCTGCCGGGGGAACGGATGCTGCGGGTCGGGCGTGGGCTGCTACTGCGGGGACCGCTACTGCTGGGACTGTTGCTGCAACGGCGGGGGCGTTAAGGAGGAGGAGCCAGAGTACCAGGGGACCAAAGGCAATGACATCCGGTAAGCGTTCCTCTTCTGGGGAAATCCACGCGCCCAGGGTGGTGTAGGGGTGCCAACTCCCGCTTGGGGGAATTCCTGGAGATTCAGAGAGAGGAGGGAACTTGGCGGGGATACGATGCCACTCTCCAAAGCTGCCATTTCCTCCTGGGGGAATGATCGCTGTCGTTGGGAGCGCAGTTGTAACTCTGGGAGATCTCTAGGCTCTGCCTGAAGGTTGGCAACCCCAGTCGCAAAAGATCCAGGGCACCCTGTCCCCACCGAGGCCTAAAACCACTGGCCTTGACAACCGGCCTCTCAGGTACTGGGCTGTGTGTGTGTTTTGGCGGGTAGGTTTCTCTTCCAGCTGCAAGAAAGTCTTGCCGACCCTGAGGTAAATAGCTGACTTTTTTGTACATCTGGGTGAGTCTGCTCTGTCATGATTATTTCTCAAGGAGGGGCGGATCCTGATATGGTACATTCAGGCCCCGTGGCTGCAAAGAAAGATGCCGATTGTTTGAGGGAAGGATTTTCTAAGTTGCTCTGGCGCTTCTCAGTTTGGGCCCTGGTGATACTGGGAACGTCTTCCCACTGAGTGCCACAGAGACCTTGACCTTCCGGGGCCTGATTTTTTGTCTCAGACAGTCACATGGGAGGTGTCAAACGGGGTTGCCAGGATCCAGGTGGCACCTGGAAAGACCCCATTATTACAATTGGTTCCCTGATGGCAGAGACCAGTTCCCCTGGAGAAAATGGCTGCTTTGGAGGGTGGACTGTACGGTATTATACCCTGCTGAGGCCCCTCCCCTCCCCCGAACCCCGCCCTCCCCAGGCTCCACCCCCAAAACCTCCAGGCATTTTCCAACCCGGAGCTGGCAACCCTAGGAGCAAAGGAACTGGCTTTCTAAGGGCAAAGTTCATACTTGGGTTGGGGCTTTGGCTCAGAGGGAGAAAGGAATTCAGCCTCCCCCCTCCACATGGCTTTTCTGTCCCGAAATAACCCTGAGGGAGCAATCACACCTGCTGTACGGCTGTCTCAGGTAAGGAAAATGGCATGAGGGGGAGGGTTGGGTCATTCACTCTGGGAGATTTGGAGTAGGAACTTGGAAAGAGGCGAGAGCTTGGGAAGGAGAGGGACCTCCGTAAGGTGTCATGCCATAGAGTCCATCCTCCAAAGCAGCCATCTTTTTTCTCTGTCATCTGGAGACAGCTGTCATTCTGGGAGATCCCCAGGCCCTCCGCTGGGGGCTGGCTGCCCTAGATTAGACTGAAGTCCCTTCTCCCCCCGCCCACCCCATTTTTGAAGAAAAGTGAGGGAAACATTTAGGAAAGGAGTTCCCTTGCGCCTGTAGTATGACTGTTTCAGTCAAAATCACGTCGGGGGGAACACAGACATGTCTTAAAAATCCCATTCCCGCCCCGCCCTGACCTGGAGAGCCCAGGAAACCAGTGTTCCCTCTAAGCTGAGTTAGCGTGAGCCAGCTCACAGTTTTTTAGCCTCCGGCTCACACATTTTTTTGTCTTAGCTCAGGAAGGAGGGCTCCCGAGCAAACTAATTTATGCAGCAGCCGAATCGCTCGCTCACAACTTTAATGCCAGGAGCTCGCAAAGTAGAATTCTTGCTCACAGGACTCCACAGCTTAGAGAGAGTATTGCAGGCAACCCCGATCTTGTCTGATCTCGGAAGCTGCTTTGGAGGGTGGACTGTACAGTATTATACCCTGCTGAGGCCCCTCCCCCGAACCCCGCCCTCCTCAGGCTCAACCCCCAAAATCCCCCGACGTGATTTTGACTGAAACGGTCATACCTCAGGCGCAAGGGAACTCCCTTATGCAGCAGCCGAATCGCTCGCTTACAACTTCAATGCCAGGAGCTCGCAAAGTAGAATTCTTGCTCACAAGACTCCACAGCTTAGAGAGAGTATTGCAGGCAACCCCGATCTTGTCAGATCTCGGAAGCTAAGGAAGACCGACATTGTCCCCGGTCACATGGAGCATTAGGCACGCTAGAGAGACAGAAGATAGGCGGATTTTCCGGGCGCGATCTCACCGCCACATCTGGGAAGCGTAGAGCTCCCGTGGCTCACCCGAGGCTTCCCGCCAAAGATGCGGGGTAAAAAACTAGTACCTCGGAGGTACTAGTTTCCGGAAACCGCGGGGCAAGGGCGGGCGTCTGATCGCGTTTCCGGTGGTAGTTCCGGCGCCCGCCCATGTCCCCTCGCAAAAAGGTTTTTTTCCCCCAAAGTCTCCACGGATGCGCACAAGCACCCAACGCAGCATGCGCACTTTTCAGTTAAAAAAACCAAACACAACCCCGTTTGCCGCGCCGCTCCGCTTCTTTGCCGCGTCGTGTGATTGGCACCTCCCCCCTAACCACGGGAGCTCGACGGGACCTCAACCCGATGCCTGATCGCGCAGTCGCGCGTTAGTTTGCTCCGGGGCAAACAGCCACGCCTCCCCCCTGCATTTTCCTGCCCGTGTGGCCGAGGCCCGTGGCAAGCACTTGGAAGGGAGACCTCCAAGGAATACCAGGGCTGGGATGCAGAGGCAGGTAACAGGCAACCACCTCTCTGAAACGCCCAAGCCCCACTAGGGGTTGCTAGAGGTCAACCATGACTTCCAGGCATACACACGCACACACACTCACCCCCCCAAAAAAATCCCATTCCTTACTCCAAGGCATAGAGGTCATTTAGCTCAGGGGTCCCCAACCTTTTTGAGCCTGCAGGCACCTTTGGAATTCTGACACAGACTGTTGGGCACTGCCACAAAAACGGCCGCTACCAAACGGCTGCTGCCAGAGGCGGAGCCAGCCACAAAATGGCTGCCACAGCTTACCTTCAGTCACACCCTGAAGATTCTTGTGCTGTGGTGGCCGCTGCCGCCAAAGCAACATTTTTAAAAATCTGCAAAGCCAACCAAAATCTCCAGTGGCTGATCAGAAGCCTTGCTGGGCAAAAGCCCCACCTGGCATCGCCCACTTTCAAAAAAACACTTGGCAGGCTCCAGGAAAAGTGTCCGTGGTCACCCAAGTTTCTGCCCAGTCCTTTTTGTGAGGGGATGATTTTCCAAACTGCTGTTACACGTCTTTGTTTGGATCTAGACACAGTTACGGAAGGCTCCTCATCTAAAGCCACAGAGACCAGGCACATGGTTTCTGACTGAAAACAGTAGCAATTTCACATCCACAGTTCTTGCGTCACCGGCTTGACCCATTTCTCCTCACGGTCTCTCTGTTGACATAGCAAGGTGACGAAGCCATAAAGACAGCAAGTCAAAACTGCTCTCTCTCTCTCTCCTTCTTTTTTTTAAAAAATATAGTAATTACTTTTCTGGTTTTCAGTGTGACACGAAAACAGCATTTAGTGTGTGTTAAGCACCTTAACGACTGGGTGTGTCACCAACGAATGCGCAATAGCCTGTTGGGTCTCCCCCGGGGCTTCCAATCCAACGAGAAATAAAATGACAAAGGCAGGAAACCAACAGGTGATGATGGAGAAGAATGAAAACCTAATTATGAGCTCGGGGGAGTAAAAGAGAGAGAGAGGGGGAGAGAAAATGGAACCGCCCCTGTGGATCAGAAGAAAGGAACGAATAGGAAATGTGAAGTGTTCAGCCGGGAAATGCAGAAGTAAACAAACAATCTCTCGGGTGACGTAAACCGGCTGTAATGCTTCATAATGCCTCCCGATTGGAAGTTCTCAGGGAAAAGCCGCAAACAGGCTCTGCAAGGGGAGAGCGAGGGACACTCAGGAGGGTGTTCTTGCCGTGCCTGTCCATTCACAGGTTGAGCACTTAGCACTAGGGGGAGGATGCACGTCCCTCCCTCCATGACTGGAGGCAGGTTTCCTACTGCACAGGGGCCTGGGAGATAGAAACGGCCCAGAGGCCTTTGCAGCTCTGGGAGCTCTCCCTTTTGACTTCCTGCTTTAGCATTCCAGTCCCCTATGATGATGAGGACATCATTTTTTGGTGTTAGTTCCAGGAGGTGTTGTAGGTCTTCATAGAACCGGTCCACTTCAGCCTCTTCTGCCTCAGTGGTTGGGGCATAGACTTGGATTGCTGTGATGCTGAATGGTTTGCCTTGGAATCGGACCGGAAGCATTCTGTCATTTTTGAGATTGTATCCCAGTATCCCAGACGGGGACGGCAAAGGATGAGATGGTTAGACAGTGTCATCGATGCAACGAACATGAAGTTGAGCAAACTTCAGAGGACGGCGGAAGACCGGAAGGCCTGGCGGGAGCTGGTCCATGGGGTCGCAAAGAGTCGGACTCGACTGTGCGACTGAACAACAACAACAACAACTGCCTTTTGCACTCTCTTGTTGAATATAAAGGCCACACCATTTTTTCTACGGGATTCCTGGCCACAGTGGTAGATATAATGGTCTTCTGAGTTAAATTCGCCCATTCCTGTCCACTTTAGCTCACTGATTCCCAAGATGTCGATGTTCAGTCTTGCCATCTAATTTTTGACCACGTCAAGCTTACCTTGATTCATAGATCTTACATTCCAGGTTCCTATGCAGTGTTGTTCTTTGCAGCATCGGACTTTCCTTTCACCATCAGACACATCCACAACTGAGCGTACTTTCGGCTTTGGCCCAGCTGCTTCACTCTTTCTGGGGTTACTTGTACTTGCCCTCTGCTCTTCCCCAGTAGCATATTGGACACCTTCCGAACTGAGGGGTTCATCTTCCGGCGTCGTATCTTTTAGCCTTTTGATACTGTCCATGGGGTTTTCTTGGCAAAGATACTGGAGTGGGTTGCCATTTCCTTCTCCGGTTAATGAAACTGAAGCTCAAATACTTTGGCCACCAAATGAGAAGGGAGCACTCACTGGAGAAGACTCTGATGCTGGGAAAGATTGAAGGTCAAAGAAGACGGGGACGGCAAAGGATGAGATGGTTAGACAGTGTCATCGATGCAACGAACATGAAATTGAGCCAACTTCAGAGGACGGCGGAAGACAGGAGGGCCTGGCGTGATCTGGTCCATGGGGTCGCGAAGAGTCAGACTCGAC